TGGTAAAGGTCAGATGCTAACAACGTCGGGTACCTGCTCATTGATCTAGGGATTACGCGTGTGAGTGCGAGATTGATGATCCTAGGTTTAGTTCCTGCTTGTACGTTTGGGGATTCGCTCTACTGAAGAGTCTAATACTAGGAAGAAACTTACATCTATTGGTTCTAGGTTTTTAATTGGGGTTTAGTTGAAATCAGCTTTTGATTCATGAGCAATGCTTAATCGTTGATACTCACTGATTCTTCATAGCTTTCTTCATGGAAATTCATCCGTTTAAAGCTGTAATTAATCATTATCAACACCTTTCACTTTAATCAATGATGACTGAGTTTTTCTCTCACTCTTTCATATTATTTTATCAGGAATATGATTTGTATTACATTTACAAATATACAAATTAACACTTATTTCATAATATCTATAATTTAGTTAGCATTGTATTTCTCTCATTCATACAAGTGAATAATATCAAAAAAGTTTCAGATTTTACAATAGATATGTTACTTAAACATGATAATGTAATCAGATTCTTTATGTTTTCAATAATAATAATAATGAAAGTAATCATATCTGATTGTTAAAAAATGACCACATAAAAACCATATATTTTATATACTATGTATGCCATGCTTTTTTTACTGGTCAATACTTTATTCAACCAATTGGTGTGAATAAATTCATTAATTTTTTAATTAAATTAATAAATAATATGATTGATTATTATTTTCATACATGAAACTGATGATATAATTTGAGGGAAATTAGGGAAAAAAAGAATTATAGTATAGCATGAAAGTGTTTCAACGTTTTCGTATTTATCTTGTATTATCTATATTGAAGTAATTATGATGTTCATTAGTTGTTTTGTAAATTATATACTATTCTGCATTCCTTAATTTTTTTTTAAAAAGGTGTACACATGAAATATTGTTTTTAGTAATATAATATTGATTTAAAAAAGATAATGAAATGAAGGTTTTGTCTAAACTAGTTAAGTGTTATTTAACTTGTCTGCATAAATTCTCTTCTTGATTTATACTGTATTTATATTCAGTTGATGAGATGATTCTTGTTTTAAAATGAATAATTTTATACTCATAATGTAATACTTAAATTAATACAAATAGAATTCTGAAAAAACTATATGAGTAGTTGGAACGATCTAGTAAACTTTTTAACTGTATATCTTCTGATTGAAAGAAATGCTTATGAGTTAAACCATGAGTTATAATTAGAGAGTACTTAGATCCTAACAATGATAACGTGAATGATATGAATGACTGGGGAATAAATCACACTGCACTATGTATCAATTTCTGTATGTTCATCTTGGACCATGAATTTTTCTGAAATATTCAGTTTTTTCATTCATATTGTGAAAATAGTTATGGATTACTCCATAATATCTGATAGTTTTCCAAATAGATCACCTTGTAATTATCATTATTCTGTTAAGTGTTTCTCATATATGGATATATATGTGAATTTTTTTGAAATATTCAGTTTTTTCATTCATATTGTGAAAATAGTTATGGATTACTCCATAATATCTGATAGTTTTCCAAATAGATCACCTTGTAATTATCATTATTCTGTTAAGTGTTTCTCATATATGGATATATATGTGTAAATTGTTTTTCACTTAATTGTTTTTTAATAACAACTACAATGCAAATAAGCTACAAACTACATGTAATTTTTCGTCACATTGTAATTATAATCCAATTAGTAGTAAATGGATTGAACGAATAACTATTGATGCTACAAGTAAATGATTCTTCTTGTAATAAGTATATTTATAATTATCGATAATAATCATGTTAATATCATTAGTAAATCTATTACTGCTAGTTTGATTATTACTTCATATGGTGGTAAGAAAATAGATATTATTATTTGCTTTATCATTCCTGTTTGTTTTTGTGCAATTATTCTGTAGGCATAATATAAATTGCTTATTATTTTGACTTATAAAGCTGTGTCAACTGCTAACCTTGGGTAACCTGGTCGTTGATACTTCACGATTTTTCTGTACACCACAAATTTAACTTATTAGAGATAAATAGTGGGTAAGGAAATAACCTATTTAAGTAAAATGCCTTATTGACTGTTTGATATGGAGTATTATTCTGCTATAATATTCGTAACTTAAAAATTAATGTATAAATAAGACAGGGTTAATTCAAATAAAACAAATTACTATAAATTTTTAACATATAGACTGTAACTGAGTATGAACAGATTTCTGCAAGATTTAAAGGTATCAGAATGCACACTGTAATCGTCATAATAAACTGTTACAAGTACTTTTTGTGGTAGTAATGGATTTAATGTGATGACATAACTAGAAATTGATCACAATATTACTACACTCTATCGTCCTTAACTTTGTAATATGCTGTCATGTTTATTTTAGATAACTTTTCTGCTCAATTTAATAATTTCTACTTACATATTATATGCTGTTTATAAATACTATAATTTTAATTAATTAACTGTTATAAAACGTGTCATCTTGCCATTTTTTTTGGCTAAAAAGTGGACAAAAAATTTATATACATAGTTTCAGTTTTCACCTCGCCCGTCGTGTCACCTTATGGTTCGATTTTAAAAGTGACCTATAAACTATTTTATATTTGTGTACTTGAAAAACAAATTTGTTACACTTTTAAAGTGAATGAATAAAGAGAATAAATATAATACAAGTGAAAAAAAAGGTTGAAAGAAAAGATATAGCCAAGCAGCAACAAAAAAACTACTAATGAACGTTTCATAGAAAGTTTTAATGATTACTAACTGGTACTTTCAAAAAATAGATAATCTGAGTAGTTATAATTATTATTCATAGAAATTCTAGTTGTGAATTAGATGTTTGAAGAATGAAACTTTGAACTGTTAAATTTTAACAAAAACATTGTAAATTTTAATATTTCTGGATGAAATATTCAATATTAAGAAATAATATGGAAATACTGAAATATACCAAGATGTGAGTGAAGTGTATTAAGACTATAAGTAGGTGCTTCATTTGTTAGTCACCACTATTCAAATTAATCGTTATTTAGAAATCCAGTGATTATCTTTATTTCTTTCATCCTTAGTCACTTTTTAAGTTGTTCTTTTTTACGTTTATAAAGTTTAATGTGAAAGGAAGATAATTCACTTCATGAGAGTAATCCAAAGTAATCACAATTCAGAGTAAACATTAGGATAGTGTCTTAAAAATTTCTAGATATAAATTTATTATTTAACAGTTATCATGTATACTCTGACGCGATCATCTCAATATTTCCTTGTGATGAATTTTACACGCTGCATTTATTTTAAAATAACATTCTATCTACCTAACTTATTAAAATTTATGATTGAGATTATGAACCGATTGATGTTAGACCACCGTTGAAAACCTGAAAGCACTGGATGGCCGTTTCGTTCTATTGCTCGACCCTTCAGCAGTGTGTACCCACGCTCCCGCTTACGGGATTCGAACTCAAGGCCCTCAGTCTCGCGCACGAACGCTTAACGTACTGGACGACTGAGCCAGCATCCAATGGTATTAGTGTCTAACATCAACCAATCCATGAAATTGCGCGGACATCTTCCATTGTACTGAGGTAGATACCTGTCTCTACCCAATACGGATTAGCTCCAATGGTCACATCTTCTCACTAGAACTCCGAGAATTGTTTTACGAAGCTGGTCACTAGTGAGCATATGTTAATTATCAGTATAGGAGTTGTGGAGATTATTAAGTTTTTGATTGAGATCATGAACCGATTGATGTTAGAACAACAGAAATTAACTACAAAATACATGTGATACATATAATTGAAAATTATTTAAGGTAGACGTTTCAGTATAATTACTTTTGATCGTGTGAACTATTCTGATTGACGTTTTTTTAGCGAGGTGTTTTTCTACGGGATGAGGTCGCTAACTGCATTCATAACCCTCCTCCTTTATCCGGGTTTGGGACCGTCACTAACCCCAAAGGGGCTCCAATGTCGCAGCAGCCTCAGCAGAAGTAGGTCTCAACATACACAAAAGGATAAGTAAGATTGTGCGATACAAAACAGCATGCACTAATCGAATCACACTTGACGGAGACGCTTTGGAGGATGTAAAAAGAATTCAATACCATAACACAACGGCCATTAATTTTTTCCCTAGTTTTCAATGACTATCCAACTATATTCAAACTATGATGTAAACTAGAAACTAATCAGATAAAATAGACTAAACTAGAAGTTTACATATCTGAGCAGCATCATTGATGAACACGATGGATCTGATGCAGATGTGAAGGCGTTTATCGGTAAAGCAAGAACAGCATATCTACAACTGAAGAACATATGGGACTCAAAACAACTGTCAACCAACATCAAAATCAGAATTTTCAATACGAACGTCAAGACATTCGTACTATACGGAGCTGAAACTTGTAGAACTACAACAACCATCATCAAGAAGGTAAAAGTATTTATAAATAGCTGTGGGAGAGAACAAACCAGCTTCCAACTGAAGAGGAAATTAGGATAGGTTGATGGAAATGGATGGGACATACATTACTCAAATCATCAAACTGCATCACGAGTCAAGCCCTAACTTGTAATCCTGAAGGGAAATGAGAAAGAGGAAGGCCAAAGAACACACTACGTCAGGAACTGGAAGCAGATATGAAAAGGATGAATAACAACTGGAAAGGTTTGTTAGTGTCAGAGTTCAATAGAGGATTCTGGTGAGCGACCTATGCTCCCCATGAGGGGTAACATGTGTTAGTTAATAAGTATGAATATTATTCATTAACCAGGTTTCTCTCATAATTCTAACAAAAATGGTTTATAGACAAAATATGTAATCCTAAGTAGCTTTGTTCGAAATTCTCTTTAAATTTATGTTTAGTGAAATTTTTCTCCATGTTTTTATGTATAATACAATACGTTTTACAAAGTGGTAATTTTTCGCATTATTTTTTCTTTTTATTTTTACTATCTACTTAGTGATGAAGGATTAAGAAAAAAATTTTTTACAGCTCTCGAAGATTTACGAATACATGGACCGCCTGGTATATCACGGAATCCAGGACCAAGCCATATAAGCTATCAATGGATTTGTGATATTTGGTTAAAACATCATTTAGGTCTTGTACACTTAATTCCTATATTTTCAATAAGACGTGTGGATGGTCGAATGTTGTCTAGTTTAATTACCTACAAACGTCCAAAACATTCTATCCAGCATAAAAATAGACGAAAAAGTAAAGATAATCATAATTATGATAACGATAATTGCAATGATATAATAATTTCTAATCCCAATGATGATATTCCTCTTTCGAATTATTCACAACAGAATCTTATCAATTTGAAAACTAATGAAATTAATGGTAGTAGTAATAATAATGATAATATTAGCAATCATTCAAGTGTTAAAAGTATTTCGTCTGTATCTTCTACAAGCAGCATAACGAACGCTGTTCAAGATTCCTGCAGTCATAATAATAGCAGTAATAAGTATGATAATGGTAATGAATATATGGAACCTAATTGGCAAGTTGCTGGACGTAAAGAAATGTTACATATTTTATTAGGTCTATCACATACATCATCATCATCGTCGTCGAGTAGTGGTGCAGATTTATCTGTAGATTCTAGATATTTACTTGGCAAAAAAGAGGCTGAAAGTTTACGTACTGCTATTGAACTATTGCATCATCATAATTTTAATATAGAGGTGAGTATGCAGATTTCCAGAATTATACCTGTAATAAAACAAATAGATTTCCAGTTCTTAATTCAATATGATTTATGTTTTAAAAGTAACAAATTCAATCTATTCATTTTTTTCACCCAGTCTTTTTAGCTATTTTATTTTTTTCTTGTCTAAATTATTCAAAAGTCAAATGTTAATATGTACATATTCAAAATACTGTTTACCTAGAAATTGTTACTGTAAATTATCATTAATTCATTTCAAAACCCAAATGGTGAAGTTATTGGATTAGAGGTAGCTGACTAACTGATTGATAGTTAACTAATTTTAAATGTGAATTTCTCCTCCATCATTAACTTCTGCATAATTTGAGAGATTTTAATTGTTATGAAGGGGAGTAGAAGCTATATAGGATAAATAAAAATCTACAAATCACAAACAATACACTAGGAAGGTGTTTTTGCACAATCAAAATCCAAATGAAGTTTTAATGCCAAAAAACAGTGAGCTTATGTAACACATTGATATTGTAAGTGGCAACTTAAATTTACAGAGTGTTTGTTTGAGTAACGAAATACAATATATGTACGTTTGAACTAAGCTATAATCTACAGAAAGGTTAACATTTTGGACTCAGAGTTTTATGGTATGACCTGTGTAAACTTAGAGGTTAAATTATAGGAAGAATCAATCTTTTCCCAAAGATCTTAATCGACTGAACTTCTGAACTCTATCATCCGATTTACTTTCTCTCTCTTATGCCTGTGAAATGTATATGCGATGTTGTGAAGTGACACAAGACTAAATAATTGTAGAATGACTGTTTTATTTATGTTAGTCTTGTTGTATAGTCAAATGCGAAAACGTACCTATATAGAGCGAAGATTAATAGAAAGTCTCAACACAACAGTCGGTGAATGTCACAACATTTCTTGTCCAGCTTCAGTAGAAAAGTAATTGATAAAGGGTATTGTATCTAGTAAGTAAATGAAATAATGGTATATCTGTCTATTCTATTTATTGAAATTACTACAATCTCCACGAAACCCCTACTGATACTAATTGACATATGTTCAATAGTGACGATCTTCAAGAGATATATCCTGGAGTTCTAGTGAGAAGCAGTGACCAGTGGAGTTCAACCGGGTCATTTGTGAGGTAGTAACTCACTGATGACAATGGTGGATGTGTCACTCAATTTTGTGGATTGGTTGAAGTTAGACATTAACACTGTTGGATGCCGGCAAGCCCAGTGGTCTAGTGGTTAAGTGCTCGCGCGCGAAACTAGTAGGTGCTGGGTTCGAATCTCGCAGGGGGCGAGGTCGTGGATGCGAACTGCTGAGGAGTCTCACAATGAGACGAAACGGCCGTCCAGGGCTTCCAGGTTTTCCATGGTGGTCTAGCTTCAATTGACTCATGATCTCAACTGTTGAAATTAGTACAATCTCCACAAAACCCCTACTGATACTCTTTTTATAACGATAAAGTTAGATGTGAGTCATAATAAGTTGTGTGACATGTTCTTAAGTAAGTAAAACTCAGCCAATCGGAAGTATTTAAGGAATCTGAACGTCGTGATAACAAAACCAAATCTAAATCAATTACATTAACTAAATCTTTCAAAAGAAAAACATAAAGAAACTGAATTAAATTAAACACGATACAAGATAACTCATATCCAAAATCAATATTTAGTAGACCATTCCTTATAATTCCATTGAGAACATACGCTTTTGATTGGCTATTTAGTATATAGAAATAATTCGTTTTTAGTAGTGAATGTCAATTAAAATCGATAATAATCCATGTTCTTTTTTAATATAAAACTTATGAATAATATCATCAGCATCAATCTATAAATGCAATGTCTTAGAAAGAATAATTTTATTTCCTGTTTCATAATCTATGGCATGGAAACAACATATATATGTTTTCTAATTAAAATGACAGTAGAAAACAAACTAGATAGTTACTAATATGTTATATTGATTTGAAGACTGTATAAAAGAAAATAGTAAATCACAGAGTAATGAATACAAATTTTAAAGTGAAGAAAAAGATAAAATTAAAAAAATAATAAAAGAAAGTATATCAGTAGTAATATTCCGTTTATTTCGATATTATCATAAAAAGATATTGTGGTTGAAATTTATCAGCAATCCAGGTACTAATTTGTCTTGCTTGTATAGAGATTATTTTTAATTTAAATTTAATTATCTAGTGATAATATACTTATATCCACTTTAGTTTGAACATTTGTAAAATTTTCGGGAAAGTCAACTATCTACCTTTGAAGTATATCAATAAATGGTTGGAATATTGTTTACTGATGAAATCACCATTTTCATCGAAACGCCTATATTTGTGTATTTTATGTTATGATAACTTAATAATTAAATGGCTTGTTAAGTGGGACTTTAAAGTTTAGTTTCCGAACGACTTAGATAAGTGCCACTAAAAAGCCCGAAACTAAAATGAAACAGGTACCCAGTGCTCTCCAGATTTGACTGATTTTCCACCAGACTTCAGCTTATGATTAGGCCTACATTCGAAAAGCTTTTTTTGTTAACTGGAGGTTGACGCGACGAAAACTTATGATATATGTTATTCGCTAATCGTAGCCTTTTGTTTGTACCATGTTTCCGAAACTAGTAAAACAGTGTTGTGGAGCGAAATTCATATTTAATCGAAGCTTGCACATCATGTTTGTTATAATTTTACTATAAATTGCTTATCTTCACTCTAATTATATCCTTTACCGATGAGTCTACTAATTATCATAATACTAATGCCCGTAATGCAGCCACGATATATACCAATATTGATTATCGAGTGTGAATTCCCTTGTTTTTAACCAGTTCAGTTCAAACACAAGAATGGTTCGCCGATTTGTTTTGTATTATTATGGCTCGAAAACTTAAATTATTGTATTCGTCGAACACAAGATCGTAATACATCACAAACAAATCTCAATCCATGCAAAACTACGATATATATTATACGAAATCAACCATGTACAAAATTAATTAGCTAGAATTTATGAACGGTAAAAGATATATCAACAATAGTTAGCGAGGAAAATGAAAGCTTGTGTAAAAGAATCGTAAACCAGTTATTTAATACATAGATAATAAAAATATGTGTAGTGACATATCAGTGAATAGATCCATCTTTTTCATTTATTGGCATATTTTCAACAGTATATTAAAAAGACTATTCTTTTTTGCTTCATTAATTATTCAGTTGATAGAACAAATTCGTGCTAAATCTGATCTTTCCGAATTAGATCTTTTGTATTGGACAAATGGTCATATTGTTAAGTGGTTATCCGATTTAGGTTTAAGCGTAAGTTTTATTATCTTTTAATTAATATTTTTTAAAGTGTACCAAATTGTCGGTGTGGTTGAATCTCATTATGAGGACTACACTGAGGGCTGTTTCGGTGATTTTTTAAAGTTATATTCTTTAATATTATCTGTTACTGACATATAGAGTAATCACATCCAACTTATTTTTTATTTTAGGGAAAAAATATTATGCAGACGGTTTTGAACAATAATGCTTTTGATACTTAATATATATAAATTAAAAAGAGGAATAAAACGTTCTGAAGTAAAATGGGACATTTTTTACCAAACATTAGAATTTCACTTTGTCATACAGATTACCATGGATAACTGTATGGTTACCAACAATTACCCATAAAGTTACCATTTATGACCTGCTTCAAACAACTGTTACTTGAATAATTTGGTCACGTTTTGAAATTAAATAGGTCACTAATAATCATGTTTTCTATTCAATTAATTCAAGGAATTTCCTCGCGAGATTGACAAAAACTCAATAATTTGTTATAGCGCACGTGATCTTGTTATTTACAATCAAATCCTAAACCTAATTGAACAGTTTATAACATCAGACCTTGCCTAATTTCGAATACAGACGTTACAAAATTGATCACTTATAATCAATCTCTAATTACCAATCAATAACCTACTTAGCACTTCATTAAATGCAGATTTTATTCAGATTTTTGTCAGTGTAAAACATAACTTTTGAAAAAGACATATGTATTTTTACTTTTCTGACGGTACCAATTTTAGGGTATATCTTTTTGGAATGCAGCTCTCTAACAAAGTCTGGAGAACTGTCTTGTGTTAAGCTTGCGACTCATATAAGATTCGTATAACTGACCATGTAAACTTCTTGAAGTTAGTTTTCATCAGGTACTAGGCTGACTCTGTTTTGTTTCTTCACTTTTGACATAGACATCCAGCTGACAAGCCCCGAATCGGATAAAATGCGCCTTATTTATTCTAATGTTAGCTTCATCTCAAATGTACCGAAAACACCGGTGACTAAAAGGTAATATCCAAAATGTCCTCTTAGGGTGCACACGTACCAATAAAGACTGAATAATTTCACTTACAAGCCTTGGAAAAATGTAAAGAATAATGCATTGGTTGCTTGATTCTTTCCATTGATGTTTAGGACTGCAACTGACCAGTGTTTTATATACATCTTGTGCGGATTACCTCTATATTGCGTTAATTCACAAGCATTATAAGCTGAGATGATGGACCCAAATATGATGAAACTCGCGTCCTGGATATCATTGTTAACTATCATCATTTCAGCTTGTAAACTACAATGTTTGGTATTATTTTGTGTTAAAATTTATATCATATATTAAGCAGAACTTTAAAAATCCATGATCAATGATTTTATTATTACGTCGCAGTTAGGCATGATTAGGACATATTACTTTAAGGTATAAATTTATATCAAGAAATTATACATTACGCTTTTAACGTTAAATAATAAGGAAGGCGAAATAATAAATTGTTTAAAGTTACTTTTAACTAAATTATTAATGAGATAAACTTCATAAGTTTTCTTGTTGGTATTTTGGTTAACATCAGGAATTTTTGTTCGGATTTCCGAGGAAAAAATTACATCCACATAATTGTAATATAATACTGTCAAAAAAAATAAAATATACAATTTATTAACAATAATCATTTTAACATGAAAATAATTATAATTAAATTGTAGATAGTTTAAAAACATTTCAGCTAAGGTGAAATAGTTTGGATTAAGTTATTTTGATGGAGTTTGTTCTCTGAGCTGGATGGTTTGTTCGTGGAGCTTTCATCGTTCTTCTGGATGACATCATCAGCACAAACTTTAGATAGAAGTGAAGCGTTCGAACTCTCAGAGGACAAAACTCCATCAAAATCATCCACATGAACTACAAATCTCCACCATCTCGAATTTAGGTATATTTGATTTTCAGTTATTAGCTTTTCTGAAGACTGAATAAATAAGTCCACATTGAGGTAGAGGATTTGTTAATGATTGCTTGAATGTAGTCTGTACGTACAGTTTGATTATACTTATTGAGTGTATCTCTTTGCCGTAAAATTCATTATAATTTTTTGTCTTTCTTTAGAACAGAGTATATAAATGTGAACTTAATAAGTAAATAAACAGCATAGTGTTTACATTATTTGTAATGAAATATTCATAAGCCAATTGATTATTTACATTATTATTACTATCATTATTATTATTATTACTATTATTATTATTTATATCACTTTCTAAATAGGATTTTGTGCACGGAATTGATGCAAGTGGTTTACATGGTGCATATATGGTACTTGATTCAACGTTCGATTTTAATACACTGATTAAACGTTTGCATATACCATTGAATGTTGCAGTTTTATGTAAATTAGAGGAGAATTTACAACGAATATTGAAACCAGCTAGGTAAAGTATCAATAATATATTATTATTATTTTATGTATTTGTTTAATGGGAAAATCCAATTTTATTTATTCGTAATCTACTTTCATAGTTATAGGTCGATAAATATTTTTCTTTTTTTAACAATAGACTATTCATTTTATATATGTTCACACTGTCATCAGCACGAGTTGCATTACTGTCTGGTTGTATAAAAATTCGGTGAAATGTTAGTTTATAAAGTCAATCATGTTTTTTTTGTAAAACGACATTCATGAATTTGAAATCTTAAAATACCATCAAGGAATTATTGTCTATTCTGTTTAAAGCTAAATCACACACTACATTGCATTCTTTTTAATGGGGTTTTATCAAGTAAATTTGTTTAAATAAAATATTCGTTTTTAAAACTGTGCTTACAAACAGACCAGTGTTTATTTTAACGATACTAGAGAGTTTATCACATGAGAATAAAAAATAGATAATTCAGAGATGAAATATATGTCAACCATTATATTTACGATTAAAGGTATTGGATGTTAGTTAACAGTGGAGTTTTTGACAAATATTTCACTCCATTTATGACTCGCCAACTGAAAGTTTCGGCTTCCCACTTTTAGTGTTCCTGTTGCGGCTCGGACGTATCACTCACTATTGTTATTCATCGGGTCACTTTTTATTTACTAAACATCAATTGTGATTAAATCTTGTTACTTACATTTGATGATTTCGTTTACAAAACCGTGTCGATCCGCTTTGATTGGGGTGTAGCCTTTTTTACAATTATTTTAACAATAACAGTTATTACTTGATACTCTGTATAGCCTTATGAAGGCTGTATTTAGTGATACCTGTAAATAGAATTAAGATCCAGTATGGTAGTACAAATTTAAACAGAATTCTGAAAATCAATCTATAACAGGAAGTCAAAAACTGTTTAAAATTTCGGAATTTACTGTTTTTAAGGTGACAAAATTTGACAGTGATAAAATCCTCACATTATTCTAGATAAAAAATGAGGTATATTTGACCTATATATATATAATATTCATAGACAACCAACGAGCCGCCTATAATTTGCCATAAACTTAGTTTTATAAATCACAATGACTGATATCAATTTTATACTCGAGTTGGAATGCTGTACTTTTATTGATATCTAAGGAAATGTTCTTTATTTAGTAACTATTATAAGATAATGACATGTAATTGCTGATTTATAAAAATAGAACTTCGTTTTTTTAATGTGCTGCGTGATATCTACAAAATTGTGGTTTATCGATTTTTTTTACTCGAGCAATGCTTCACGACACTTAACTATTTCTGTATATAGTATTACAGTTCGTAATTCATCTTTAACGAAAATTCATATGAAAAAATATGATTCCATTTCCTGTGGGACTGTAATGATGTTTTTACACTGTTTAGTCGATTAATATCAACTTACCTATTTCATTTTGTTCAATAATAACTATTAAGAACGTCAGAAAGTTGTGGCAATAAATTAAATGAACTAGCGTTTTAGTATGTTTACTTAAATGTTTATTTAGGTGCTGCTATTTTTTATATTGACTTATGTTTTGAACTTATCATATCAGAAGTATTTTTAGTTAAAATAGTGTGATCTTAATGCTTTTTCATCAGGTGGTTTTGCAGGGATCAATATAGGTGAAGATAACCAACTGTATGTAAATCCAAAAGTAAAAAAAATATGAGAACCATACACTGAATGCTTCATTTTTGGATTTCTATCACATGTCAGTCACTTTCTGTATTTTATTTCAGTTCATGATTCCTTCCCATTTTTCCTTCTATTCTATTGAGCTCGATCTTGTTAGCCTTCTGCTGACAGATTTTTCGCTTCCTAATTATGTCGACAGACATAAGTAGCGTATATCACAGTTCTATATTAATGTGTCCACATATATAATGTTGAAAAAGGCTACTGTAAAGTTAACGAACGATTCCAATTATTCAAAAACGAAGAATATTTGAGCGAACAATTGCTTTCAATAACTTCATCATCAGGCTCTACAGTTATAAGTTCATAATTATAATATTTTACAAAAGCCAAAAATAAGGCATGTATTAATGCATTTGACAATGTTATTTGTTAAAAATGGTGAACGTTTGCATCCTGGCCTACGACTGGATCACCAAATACCTAGACTGAATATTATAAATCTCTTACCCCTTCCTTCATTTTCATTTTTATTTATTTTCCTTATTATCATTATTTGTCATTATCTATATCTTAATCTTCATATCCATCATTCCCAATTTGTTGACCGTAATTACCTTGATAACACCCCCCTTATTACATATTATATTCACACAACAATATTATTATTATCTCAGTTGACAAAATTATTTTCAATTTTGCAATAGTACTATTATCTTATTGTGACTGAACAATTTACTGACCTTTATTGAATGATCTTTCTAATTTGCAAATATTGCAATTTCTTGAAGTATATATATATATATCGTAACAGATGCAAACGTTCACCATTTTGTAAAATATTATAATTATGGACTTATAACTATAGAGCCTGATGATGAAGTTATTGAAAACAATTGTTCGCTCAAATATTCTTCGTTTTTGAATATTCTTTGGGGGTTTTTTAAACTGCTGAAATCTAGTGATTCCAGTTATACAAAAACTTAAGTCTACGTTCTACTAAAGAGCTTTAAAAGTCCAGAAGCTCAATAAGTTTACAATACATTTTTTAAATCATATAACATGATTAAAAATAAATATGTATAAAAGTTTGACGGATCAAAATTTGTTTGCACAATAAAGCATATTTACTGGTACTTTGAGATGAGCTACGTAAACTTCAAGTAAAAAGCTGTGACTAATTGAGGCAATCAAGTTAGGAGTGAAATACTTACAGATGATTTATTCAGAGTTTGAAATGTAGACTACTGGATTCGACTTTGTTTTCTAAGCGTATCATGTTCGTTTCGAGGTGTGTAGGTTCTGGAAACTATCCTATGGAGAGTCATGAGAGTACACTTTTGAAGATTTCCGAACAAAAAGAAGTAGCAAATTTTTACCTTTTTCGTTAGTTTTTAACAGATTTCAATTTACGATGAAAATAATCTTCGAAATTTTGCATCCTCCCCACAAAACACAGATGGTATATTTGTATATTTAGTCGAAAGAGGACATTAGTAATTATTATCTCTTCCTTTCTCCATAACTATTTCATAAACTGAATAATTATATGCAGATAAATTTTACGGTTTACATATTCTCTTCATGATGGGTTTCACGCCATTTTGTTTTGTGCTAAATTTTTTTTAGAAATGTTTGTTAACAAATCAAAATGAGTGATTTATTTTCATGTTACAAGTCAATTTATTTGTCTACATGCAATATTCACTTATTAACAATGATTGTTAAATGCATGTGATTATGTAAACCCAAAACTTTAATGCCATTTTAAACATTTTAGTCTATAGCTAGATATCTGACAGTTCAAAATACTAAACTTTTCAATTTTTTTCCGAATGTCATTTACTGATAACTTAATCTAAAAACAGAATAAAAATTGCATATTTCATTTTATACACTGCATATTTTATAATACGTTAATCATTTCAATTAACTTCTATTCAGTAGAAAAGCCATGTTAAATCATGAACTGATTAATTCTTATCTACTGAAATTAAATATTGTGGCTCATAATCTAATGTACCAACTAGACAGACACATCAACAAAAAGCCTGGAATTTATGTGGGTTGACCGTAGTTGGCATACCTGACAAGATAGAGTAAAAAAATTGATCGAAATTATGTAGAAGTGATGATAAAACGAAGGACTATGCCTTGAGGATATCGTTTAAAAAGATAGAGTGTAAAGGTATGTATGGAGAAATGCTGGAACTAAAGCTCGAGAGAAAGAAAAAAAGTGAATGGATCTGTGTCACTTTGAATGATTCTGAGCCAGTTCACCCAAAGTCTCCAACCATTGACTCCAGTTATGACATGGACCCTAAAAGAGCAGTCTGCATCTACCGACATGGCTGATGAGACGTTTTGCTAAGGGCCCCCTAGCTTTCTTTAAATATATTTCTACATTGGCAAGCCTCACTGATTGAGGTAGGTAGTGGTTAGGCGTTCGTAACACATATCTTAGTCACCTCGACCGATGAATACTTATTACTTGATCAACCGACTTGGCCCATTGGTCACGTACTGTAAGCTTAACTTAAATAATACTCACTTGGTCGTTTCACAGAACACGAGCAATGCTTGGAAGATACCCCTGATCAAATACCTTGAGCCTACGTATATTTTCTATTTCGTAGGCTGTCTCACAGCCATAAATGAGGACAGAGCGGACTGATGTGAAGCATACACGACCTCTGGTTAGAGTGTGGAGATCTCGCCTATGCCACAAGTGACGCAAGTTGGCAAATGCCAACCAGGCTTTCTGTATTCGTGCCAATATTTCGTCAGATATCACCCCACAAGAACTGATGAGAGTCTCAAGATAAGTAAAGCGGTAAATCTAAAGATAAGGTTTTTATTTTAATGATATGTAGTGTGCAATACAGAGAACTATAAATATGTGTCAAAATGTTTGTAGTTTTATATCATTGACTGATTTTAGTCAAACAATCGTAGAAAACATTGAAGTACTGTTCTGGTATCGAAATCCTCGGTAGAATACATACACTGCAACGCCAAAGGTCGAACTGCGAACTTTCATTATGCGAAGTAAATGATATACCCCCAGAATATTGCATAACATCTCAGTATCCTGGGGACAGTTCATCGTAGCTCTGTATGGTAGTCCTTGGTTTTTCCCTCAGTGCGATTGTAGATGGACACTGATAATGACTTCGATCTTAAGACGAACTAATGCTTCCATGTTTTCAGTAGTTATCTAACGAAAATTATTTCACAATTGAAACTAAATATTTGACAATCTCAACAACCTCGTATATTAGTAAATCAGAAAACGTTTTTAGAAGTTAAGAATCTTTCTTGTATCTTTCAACTGATCTTATTT